AGTAAATATCTAAGGGGTTTCTAAAATACCGACAAACAACTCAAAATTTAATAAATATTGAGGAGAAAACACAGAGGCAAAAACCTGTACAGAGAAAATACGAAATAAATTATTATTATTTTTTTTTTGCAAATATGATAGAGAGAAGAAGCAAGTATTTTTTCCAAGGATTAATTTCAAGTACAAGCATATTTATGACACTAGTTTCTAAGTTCCTCTTTGATGAGTACATGCAGACGACAGAAACATAACCTATATGTAAAAGTGATTGCATTTATGTATACTAAAAAATTTGACCTAAAAATAAATTATATAACAGGGTGTTGCAGGCTTTAACTTAAAAAGTATATAATTTTTATATTATTTTTAAGTTGAAATTTACTGTTTTAGTGTTGGTTTAGAATTAGATAGTATTTGCTTTAGTATGATATATGAAAATTACTCTGACTTAATGCGTGCTATGTTAAAAGTGGAATGGCTGATTACAAAAACTGCAAATAATTAATTGGCACTGAATTATTTAAGTCCAAATGGCTGACATTTTATTTTGAAATGGATTACATAGTTCAATTCGCAATTTTCAGCGAGATTTGGCGTATAAACCTGCTATATGTGCACAGGAACAAGCATTTTGCAAATTCAAAATTTTTGACAACATAGCTTATGTATGTACATATGTATGTATTTACGACTCGTGAGTGAAATACATAAGTACATAAATGAATAAAAAATATTCGCACGCAAAATAATAATTGAAAAAGTTTTTATAACTTAAATTTAAAATTTTCGGTTAAAAATGTATAAGAAATTTTCGCTATAAATTTAATTTACTTGAATTATTGAAAATGGTTCTTTCTCGAGCAGCATACGCGTGAGTTAATCAAAATAGCGATCGAAGTTCTACACAAACAAGCGAAAAGTTGTGAATAAGAACAAATTGCATTGAAGTATAATATTTAAAAATGTGCGTAGCTATTTTTAACAATTTTAACTATATAGTATATTGAAAAGCAAGTACTAGTGCGCAGCTTTTTCCCTTTTCTGACTTGGTCTTCTTCGCAGGGAAGTTTTGAGCTTTTATATTGGAGTGTATGCAACCACCGAAATGTACCAAAGTATTTTACGAGGTTCACATTATTTCAATACTGCCAGAAAATAACTAAATTTTTAATTGGAGAAAAATATAAAATAATAGCGCTGATTGGTAACACTGCCCGAAAAATATTACATGGTTTTTGTAATTTCAGGTTAGAGTGTTAATTTTAATAGGCGTTGTTTTATGCGTAGTATTAGTCGACTTAAAAAAATAAACTTTTTTTATATGTATGTACTTCTCTACAAGAATAAAATAGAAGATATTTATGTACCTTTTAACCTCTGTTAAACTATTAACTAAACTATAAACAGGCACGGAAAAACTAAGTTATCTCATTTTATCAAATTAAAACTTTGAATAAAATAATTATATTGTTTACGATAAAAAAATATATATAAATTTTTTATTTTTATTTTTATAAACTTAGTTTACTAGACCTACAAGCCTCTACATGCATACATATATACATATATACATTTCACTAAGTAAAATATGATTGTTGAATAAACAAGCTGTTTAATATCACTATAAGAAATATATCTCAACTTAAAACATTTTTTAAACTCAAATATGTATGTATTTCAGTCTAACCACATATCGCACACCGTCTTCAAAAGAGTCACAACTCAAAATATGTAATACGATTGTCAGAAAATGCGAAAAACTATTTCTTAGCACACGATAATCATATGGGCAAGCGCGACTTTACCTTAGGTTTGTTTTTAACAAATTATAACAAAAATTTGCGCCAGCTTTTGCTGAAAGGTAAATAAAAGCTCTGCGTACAGAGACGGTGTGCGATATGTACTTATATGTACATATCGAGGGCTTATATTCAATAGATACCCTCTATCTGCACTTTTCACAAAAAATTAGATTCTGATATAAAAGTCCACCTAAGACTTAACTGTCATCGGTGATATTAATGATGACCTTGTATAGCGCTTGACAGAAGAATTTAATATTAAATTGCAAAGTTAGAATCAAGGCGAATTTATATAAGGTGATAGCAGGAGTACAAAAACAAAAATTTACATGTATTTTGTTTTTGATTTGGCGGCATAAACTGTCAAAATCTGTAAGAGTGTGCGTAGAAATTCAAACAAAATTTTTCAATTTGATATCAGAAGCCGTGCGGCGAAACACATACACAAAATCAGCTGAGCTAGTAACACCACCTTATATTAATTCGCCTTGGTTAGAATTCACATGAGACATGATGACAGGTAATTCCCAGATGGGTTCTAACACCACAAAGCAGTTTTTGTGAAAATTGCATATAGCGGGCATCGAATATGAGCACTCGATATGTACTATGCATGTGAATGTAAAAATATAGTTTTACTAAGAATAATTAAAAATTTAACAATTATTGAACGTGTCTAGTATTTATACTATATTTATCATAGAATTAAGCTTTTAATTAATGCGGTTGGAAACACTACAGTACTTCCATGCAAATAGTAGAAGAAAACAATGTTTTCCATTACAAAGGATTTGGTTTCAGCATACAAAATGCTGCTACATTTATTTTTATTCTCTTTGTGCGATTACTGTTTATTAAGAAAAATATATACATAACTGTTGGATTTAAAAATAACTTCTTTTTTTTTAGTTGAAAACTTCAAAAAGGGCACATGCACTTTAGTTTTTAAAAGCTTTGCTCAATTTTACTATTAACTGCATTAATGCAATTTTAAAACCTTATTATAGTCATCGATAAGGAAAACGTATAGTTGGAATTTTTAAAAGCACAGCTTTATAATTACGTTTGTCAAAAGCTGATATTATTTTTGACGTTTGTTCAACTTTTTTGCATGTTAATTATATGTACATATGTACATAGTACATACTACGCATGTATAATAAATATATACATATTTCTAAATCTTATACCAAAAAAAATTTAAAACGTACAATTGAATCATTAATAACTTTTCTAAACTAATTAAAAGAATTACAAAATTTGTTAAGTCTATATGTGTGAAAACACACAAAATATAGTTTATATTTGACTCTTCCGCTCCAAAAACAAACAAACGAAGATATTTAATTGTAAAAACATAAATTGATTAATAAACTATTTTGTAAGCCAAATAATGCAAAAATTAAAATAGTATAGCTTTTAGTTTAAAATTAAAAGTAAGTGGATAACCGCGCAAAAACGGCAGTACAAAATGAATTTAAAATAATTCAGTTGTGCGAAAAGTAAACTAAAAGAAGAATACTGTAAGAAATAAAAAAGGAAATATTCAAAGAAAGCAGAAAGCATTAGAAATACCACAAGATAAATGAGTGACCATTAAGAACAAAATTGTATATGCTTGGTTTAAAAAATAAATATTTATCTATTACAAAAATCAACCAACAACATATGTATATTAATTTTTTATTTTTATTCATTTGGATTTGTTTTACGTATGTAGGTATATTTCTTGCCGCTGTGGTGCAGTGCGCACTACCATTCCGCAGGTCTGGGTTCGAGCCCAGCTTCAGACCAATATAAAAAAAAAAAAAAAATAAAAACAAAGTTGGCAAACCTCCGAGTGTATTTCTTCTATCATGAAAAACGGCTTCTGATAAAAATACCATCGCCGTTCGGTTTCGGCATAAAACTGTAGCTCCCTTCCCTTTGTGTGACAACTTCAAGGCGCACGCCACATATCGGAGGGGAAGCTCACTAACATACGTATTGTGTAAGCGCCAATCTACTATTATTTTTGTATTTTAATATAATTTATATTTTCCATTGTTTTTAAATTTGTGGGGTTTTATTTGTTATATTTTTTATTTGATTTATTTGAATGAAAAAATAAAATATTGATGCAAAAAAGGAAACAAACAAAATCCATATTCATTTAATATATATACATATATAATAATATATATGTATGTATATGGACTTGTAAGCCAAACTATTAGGGTTCAACAACATACATATAAAATACATATACATGCATATGTATGTATGTAAAATATGTAGAAATAAAAATGTGTATGACTAAAAAATAATAAAAAATATTTTTCTAAAAAAATGTAAGAAAGAAAAAATACATAGGTATTAATTAACTAAGAAATTCAAGAAAGCATGATTAAGAGAAAAATTAAACTTTTTTATTTGAACAACTATAAAAATAAAATCAGAAAATAACTGAAACTTAGATATAACAAATAATTGTTAAGCAAAAAAACAAAACCGACTTCAATTCTCATATAAAAGGTCGGATTTAAACCAAATTAATATGTGAGGTAACATCTTTCCTTTAAAAAAAGAATTTTAGAAATCGGTTAACGTGGTCCAAAGTTATGCGGTAACATACATAAAAAAAATATTCCGACAAATTCATAACCTTCTATATTCAGCCTTATCATGAGTATGATTTTCGCCCGGGATCGTTCACTTTTCGCCCATGTGTTTCACTATGGGCGGATGAAAAAAAAAATCGGACGAGTTTTGTTTTCGGGCGAAACTCACGATAAGGTTGATTAGAACCTCGAAAAATAAGGGTATATGCTAAAAAACATGTTATAAAATTAAAAAAATATATATACATACATCCATACTATATACATACTTGCTTAATATGCGTAAAAATACAAATTGTATTTTAAACAAATAAAGAAAAAAATAAAAACAAAATAAAAAATAAAGTTAAAACGTGTAGCGAACCAAAACTTAATAAACAGTAAGCGTCAAAAATCAAACAGATGCAAAATCTTTTTTTGAAAAGAATACTAATTTGTCGACAGATTAATTTTTTTTTAATTCAACATTTTTTATAATAAAATTAGTGAAAAAAATAAAGTCTAAATTAAAAAAATATTCATAAATTAAAGAGCATTTTATTTATCAAAATTGTCGACTTTCAAATGTGTAAAAAAACTAAACTACATACGACTAAAACCCTAAGTTATATATAATAAAATGCCAAAACTTCAACAACAACAAAATTATATCAATAAAATAATAAAGGTATGCATTTATTGCATACCAAATGTGTAAAATAGAAATTACCGTATCATTTATAATGAAATAAGAAAATTATAAAACTTAGTGCCGGCTTCTGAAGTAGGTTTTAAAATTTACCTGACCTTTAAACACATTTTTTTCAGAACAAAATTTGTGTATAAAAGGCAGTTAAATTCTAAAACCTTTTTGAGAAAATGGCCTAAATATAATAAAACGCGCCAGTAAATAAAAAACTATATTATGCTAAAAACAAACCAGTGTATTTTCGAATGAATTTTCTTCGGCACAAATATGCAACAGATAACGTTAAAATATATTACAAAATGTCAAAAAACGGGTTTTGAAATTAAAAGATTTTCGATTGTTTTTCTTAAATGTAGGTTTTTAAGAAACTTACTTTTAAACAACTAGGGAGGTGCGAAACTGCTTCAACAAATCACATTTAAACAACACAAAATTATTAATTAAAAAACAAGTTTTCGAAATTGACATCTGTTAAAAGGAATAACTACACAAAAAAATTGCCGATGGGTGGCGTTAGAGTCGAGATATTTGGAAAACCCGTATCCGGGTCCGAGTTGGTTCATATTTAGAAAGCTGGTTTTGCCATTAACTTATTTAAATAATTGATGAGTAGGAAACATTTAAAACATCAAAGGCAAAATAACGTGGATTTTCTAAAATCGAAGATTTTCTAAATTAAGTTTTCTTTACAAAAACTGAGTTTTGAGAAATTCTAAAGCAGGGAAAAACTTTTTGCAGACTACACTGAATTATCGATACCAAAAGATATTTGAAAAATATTTTTCTATCGGATTTCCGTAATTTTAGTGCTTCATAAGCATATACCGAAAAGAAAAAGCTGCTTCCACTGAAAAAAAAACTACTTTCGAAAATGTATCCCCTTTTAAACAAATCGAGTTCTGAACGTAAAAACCTTAAAATTGTAGTACAAAAAAAGAAGGTTACAAAATTTTTAATATTTTCTGAAATATGGTCTTTTTAGACGCTTGCCAATAAAAAGTGATTTTTTGCATTAATTTATTAACACGAAAATATATATAAAGAGGGGAGTTATCAAAGATTAGTTTTCTTCAAAAATTAAAATTTTGCAGACTTTTCGACTATATTGTTTTGCAAAAAAATACTTTTTCAGCGTTGTGCAATTTTTAAAATCTTTTTTCGTTCTCAATCCTTTTATATAAAGCATCTAGTTTTTCTACAAACAATTCTACCGATCAGCGATATAAAACAACTAACTACATTAGCAAATATTTTCTACTTTACAATTAAATATTATTAAAAAAAAATTGTCACGACTTTGCTTCGCACTTACAAAAGACGTTAGGCGTTGCTGCGCGGCGGTAAAAAGAAATACTTGCGTAGTGTGTTGCTGGATATGGGCATCATTATCTCATTTTCATTACCGCGCCGCTCGCTCACTTTGCGATTGACGCGGATGAGAATGTCAACAATGTGGCGCCTGCAAAGCGAAAAACAATTGCATGGTTAAGAATTTTTAAATAAGTTATTTAAACGCAAAACAAATTTTAATTTTTATCTAAAAACCTTAATTTTGGTTTCGAGCCAAATGATATCGCTTAGTGCTTACCTATCGCCAAAACGCTCAACAGCTTCACATAATTCTTGTATAAACCATGTGCCCTCCACCGTGTGACGCATTGCAGAATAGCCGGGCACAGTCGACATGGCCTTGACAATATCACCGAAACGATGAGGCGTCACATTAATCTTGCGCTTTTCCTGTTAGGTTTGTAAATAGCATAATAGAAAATAACAAATCCAATTTAAAATCAAATTCTTACGCTTATTGGTGATTCATCTTTCTGACACGCTTGTATGATTAGCAATTTTGGCTTGGCATACAGCGTATCGCCTGTAATTATATGTTCAATTTCCGCTATCTCTACAGGAATGCTATTGCTGCCATAAACGGAACCTAGATGTAAAAGAAGAACCTCGATTAGACACTAACAATTAAAGATAAAAGGTACACACACACACCATCGATGCCATGCGATAGTATGCACACAATCAGCGAATCGAACTGAAAAGATAACTTTACAGTCTCACGTATGCGATGCATCAATTCGAGATGTGTGAGATTTTCGAACTCCTGCGCTCTGTAGCCGAAATCCGTAAAAACATTCCTCAGTCGCTCCTTGTCTACATTCGAACCATAGCGCGCTTTGAGTGGCTTTTTCGGCAACAAGTGCTTTATATAATATACAAAAAATTGTTAATTAATATACAATCATATATGTATATAGTATGTAACCTTTAATGCAGGATCGGGATCTTCATGGAAGCTTAGCTGATTGATTATCAATAGAATTCCAGCTCTTTCTCGACGTACTTCATATTTTTCACCCATCGTTAGGTCACAGCTGCGAACCGAGGCGCAGGCATTGTCTCCTGTTTGTGGAATTGGTGTAGAAGTAGCGGAAATAAGCATATTATTATTTTCCAACGGCGCAACTGCAGTGGAATTATCTGCACTTATATGAGCGCCACTGCTAACGCGCTGTTTTTCAGCATTATTTACGATGGTTTCGATAAGCAGTGTTTTCAAAGCATCCATATCATTAAATTTTAAAAATTCGAGAAGCACATCGACATCCGCTCCATTTGCTGCACTATCACCCAAAATTATAATGCGCCGTGAGATCCAGTCGAGCATAAATATTTCCAGGTATGCGAAATCATAGAAACGCAGAAGCTCTTCCGGACGTTTGCGTTGTTCATTGACCCGCAGCACTAGCTGCCCAGCTTGTGCCGGTTTCAAACGCTCACATACGCGGTATAACGCCTTTAATAGTGGGTGTACATGCAGACTTAGCTCGCCAATATGTGGCAGGTAGTGTTGATGTAATTCATTCCAATCGAATCCCAACTTGCGCAACACACGACGGGCACCCACTATAGCCAAGGCCTCTACCAGCTGAGCACGCCAATTGCGCGGATTTAGGCTTATGTATTTGGTGAGCAAATCGGCGCCGCCGCAGCCGCCGCCCTTATGGGTATTGGATAGGATGAGTAGCTATTTAAAACAAATATGCGTCAAAATTTAAATCTATTATAGCAAAATGTTTTGTACTACCTTTTGCAGAGCAAACTCGGCAGCTACGCGGTCATCGCCGAATAGAAGGAAACCCAAAGAAACCTGTTGATTATGATGGTAAATTATCTTTTTGTAAAACTTTTTACGAAATAGCAGCGAAAAAATATTTCCAGACTCCTTAATTGGTTCGTGCGCCAGTGTCTACTTACCAGCTCATAGAAGCACAAATCTCGTTCTACGTATTGCAAGTCTTCCACATTAATATTATTCAATTTGGAAACTAAATTAAAACGTTGGCGTCCAGAAGCCATTTAAATACTTCTTGAAATTAATCTAAAAAAACTGCAAAACAAAAATACTGCGAAAAATGCATTGGATGACTAAAATTGCAAAACAACAAAGAAAATCATAATATCAGCTGACATATTTTAACTAGAGCTGGAAAACTATCAAGCTATCGACGGCACTATCATTATTATCGGTAGTCTCCCAACTATCGATACTATCGACATTTTTTTAACGTTGCGCTAGTCACCCAGAGAACTAAAATGGGCTAGGGGCAATTTTAAATTTATGTGGCAAAAAAAAGGGCGTGGTAAAATAAAGCGGCAACACTGCTCTCCATTCATTTGACTTTTCGTCGCAGTACGAGACTCGTATGCCAGGAAGAAGCAGAAAATAAAAGTTGTGTATTTTTATTCCCGACAATTGTTTATAAACAAATATTAGGGAAAATTTAGATGTAATGGTCCAAGCAGAGGAAGTGGTAAATAGTTGTCGCGTTTGCCGCAGTCCAAATCAGGATGCTGACTACGAATGCCTCTATGTGGTGCAAGTGGTAGAAGAAGATGGCGTTATGCATTCGCACACATGGCAGCTGACGGCCACGGGCAAGTTGTACGAAGAAATGTTGGGCTTTCAGGTATGTAGGCTACATACAAATGATTTCGTTTTGCAATGAAAACGGTTACAACTACGCTCAAATTTAGATTGATGCATCAACCATGGAGCTCTACCCACAATACCTGTGCAATAGTTGTGATTTACAAATGCGGCTATTTCGTAAACTGACTATGAAAGCGCGACGTACACTAGAAGAGCTGGCAAAAATGTATCCTGATGCGGGTAATAAGGATGCAAATATGACACAGAATTGCGAGGAAATGTCACATCTAGCCATAGAAGCTAATAATGATACAATTATACTCGGAGAAGAATTTCTCGAAAACGGTTTACCCTCTATGACCAGTGACGAAAACGCTGTTATTCAGTCCATACTGAAAGATACAAATGTAGCGGAACACATGCCAAATGGCACAGAGTACGATAATGGACAAGCCTATGCGCCAATTACATTAGAACCGGAGACTTTTTCAAATGAAGTGGCGAACGCTGAATTAGTGCTTATGAAAGAGAAATCCAATGAAGTTCCAAACGAACTACAAGTGGTGGCTTTGGACGGCAATGAGGGGCTGTATTATACTGCTACCCCGGAGCTAGATACCCAGCCGCCACAGCATACGGATATTAAATCTTCAAGCGATACAAAAGAGATTGAGTTCGTGTCGCTTTTTGATGACAATTCGAGTCAAGGGCAACATGGGCTAAAACAGGAAGCAGTCGAATTTTTCGATGTGCATTACCTGGAAGATACGAACAGCGGTCTGCCAATAAATGCACTAGAGAGGCCAAAGCCTGAAGGCGGTGGCATAAGGCGTGCCCATGAATGCCAAGCATGCGGTTTGGAATTTTTGCGACGCACGGATTTTCTACAACACCGGTATGTTCAAATGCAGCACTTTCAGTCTATTATACTAAAACTTTTCTTTTCGATTCCAGCAAAACTGTGCATTCCAATAAATTTCCATGTCCCTTCTGTTCCAAATTGCTACACACCAACGATGCATTGCGCGTGCATCTGCGTCTACATGGCGGCGAACCGGCCTATAAGTGTGATCTCTGCCAGCGTACATTCAATCAAAAAGTGCACTATCGCTATCACATGGATCGGCATAATAATGTACGCAATTTCAAGTGTACGGTTTGTGAGAAGGCCTTTCTGTCCAAGCACGACTTAACGGTGCATATGCGCACACATACAGGTGAACGACCGTACGAATGCGAGATATGCGGTAAGCATTTGACGAAAATAGACTTGTGGCAATAAATTTATATATTTTTTTTTTCAGGCAAGGACTTTCTCATACTGCAACATCTCAAAATGCACCGTTACTCGCATACCAGCAAGTCATTCGAGTGTCCGGAATGCAAGCAGAAATTCATTTCGCCCTCGACCCTGCGCATACACCAACATACCATACATACCAGTGAACGACGCTTCCAGTGCGAGTTCTGTGTAAAACGTTTTCGACGAAAACATCACTTGATCGTAAGCTGTTGTAAAAATCACGGTCGAATGCTTATTGATTAAACATATACATTACATCCTTTTAGACCCATTACAAAGTACATCAAAAACCTGAATACAATACGAGTGGTTTGGAAGATTTGGTAGAAGAGGGCGAGTATAGCGAGACGGATGGCTATCAAATTGCGTCTGAGCAGATCCACGACGTCCAGCAGCTGACGATCGAAGACGATGGCGACTTTTTGGAAATCCACGAGGATGAACACATCGATGGTATTTTAATTGTGGACGATGAGGATGGCGATACGCAAGCCATCTATGGGACTGATTATGTGATAGGTGTGGCAGAGGAAAGCGCCGATATGGTATTTTAGAATGAGCAATCGAATTCGTTGTAATATTATAAATTAAGAATTGATGTTTTAAGCGAAGATTGCAGTTTCTTTATTTTTTTGCACATCCGTTGGGCTTTCGTCAAAGTTACTCATAAGTTTAATAATAAGAATAGATTGACGTTTACACAATGTATTGGTGTCGTAGCCGGAACTGCTGTCACCTCGGCAAAATTCTCAAAAACTGGGATTTTTTTTGGTTGTCACAGCCTCTGCTGCGCTTTGTAAGTAATTCGGAGTTCCCGCCTGCACTTCACCTCCTCCCGTGCTCTACAATAACATAAAACACAACACACTTTATTGTTAATTTGTTAATTTAAATTTTTAAGTTTTTTATTTTTTTACTTTTATCGATTTCTTTAGTTTTTGTTTACGTGTATATATAATTTAAATATTAGATGCTACTAAATACGTTTCTCATTCAAATTTTGCAAGGAAATTCTCTTTCTTTTCTATTCTTTTATTTTTGAAGCACTTCTTTGTAGTTGGTAATATAAATTTTTCCGCTATACGCGATAAGCTTAAGAAAATCAACAAACAATACGATACATGTTTATTTGTTGTTTTTGTTGCTTTTATTGTTGCAAACGTTTTTGTTTTTTTTAATATAGTAAGTATAATATTGTAGTAGTAGTAGTAATTGTTTGCTGCTGCTGCGGCGGCGGCGCGGAGCACAAAAATGCGTGCTACAAACGCACAATTCATATTAAATTTATTTGAAATTTTGTTTCAAATTTTGCTGTAGTAATTTTCACTCTACCCGATCTACTACATACATATGTATTTACTTAATTGCGCGTGCAGCTAGCTTAAAAATACATTGTAGATATAATTGCGCTACTCCTCCAGCGAGGGAGCGGCTGTGGTTTGAAATGGTGGTGTTGTTTTTGTTGTTGTTAGTATTGCTGGTGGCGTTTTTTGATTTATGCTTGGTGCCGATTTTCTAAATTCTTGAAAAAAAATTTGCGGAATTATTACGTAAATTTTTTTTTAATGTCTTTTTAGCAAGTAAGCGTTTTTAAGGGGTTTAGAGAATTTGGCAAATTACGCAAATGAATGAGAGAGGAAGAGTAGCCAAAACAAGGTTAAAAAACATGTGTGCGTTTAAAAATCTGGAAGATTGGCGCACCGTTTAAAGAAAACATTTTTCTGTGTAACCAGATTATAAATTTTCAAAACAAAATAATTTCAATAAAGAAAAGCAAGTGTAGGATTATCTCAGCGCGATAAGGTGCGGGTGGAGGACAACATGTGCGTAAGATTGCTTGTGTGGTTCGTTGTACAAAGGCTTACATAACAAAAAAAGTGAAAATGATGCATAGGGCGGGCGTAGGCCACAATTAAAAGATTGGCGTACATTTTTTAAATACATATAAATACGCATTGTATAGATAGTTTAATACATTGGATTAATACAACTATATGGCAGAAAAATGTCCCTTTGTTTTGCACACACATATATAATAAGTGTTTGCTTATCATTGCTTATGCGATTTCGCTGCCATATAGCATCTTTTTATGATTAAAATGGTCTTTTGATTTCAAGTGCCCATACTGGGACTTTCACTACAACAACGTTCGATGATGAAGCATCTCTTAATACTTGCGTTTTCTATACATTTTTTAGATTCACAATTTGTGGTTATGTTTTTGTCATGCCGTTTTTCCATGTAAGTATAAAAAAATATTAAATTCAAAAAATAAATAGCTTAGGAAGATAAAAGACGAAACATTATTATTAAAATTATAATATGCATTCAACTTCAACATCATTATCATCAACATTAAATCAACGTCCAAGTCCACACAACGTCTTAACTCCGCATGCGTATATCAATCAGCCAACTTGGGCATCGATAGTAATGGTATATAACAACTACATGTGTGCGTGTGGAGTGAATGAGGTGAGATTTGAGGAGATTGTGACGCGCGTTGGCTAGATGAAAGTTAGTAGAATATGCGCTAGAAATGTGTTGCAGATGCCAGTTAGCATTATACTGCTGCTGACAATTGATGAGCGCTGCGCTAGCTGTTAGCTTGAACGACAGCTTAGTGCGTGGCGGTAGTTTTTGATTGTTGATGATCGCTTTTGAGATTAGTGTCTGGTTAATTAGGCACCACATGAAACAGATGTAATGCGAGTGATGCGGCTGTCTGCATGACTTTGATGTCTAATACGCACGACTTCGCTTTTTCGACACATACACAAAGTTTACAAAGTTTGCTTTTGGGAAACTTATACAAAAATAAGCTTACAGCGTACAATTGAAATACATAGTACATGCCCGTGTGCATTCGAAAAAGAATGATTAAGATTATTGTTGCAGACAACTGCTGTTGCGCGTCTAATAAACGTAGTGTTGATGTGTATGCATTTGCAAATGCTTATATATAAACACCATAAATGAATATTACGCCCACCACCTTCAGGTTAGGTACATCTCGAAAATGCGGTGTTCGATATACTTTTTTGTTTGTTACTTGCTGTGTTGGTGATGTGGTTGCGTTACTTTAGTTCTTTTAGAGTATTTTTGTATCTTTTTATACGTATTATCAGTTAATTGTTGTTGTTGCTATTCTATATTGTTGCTGTTGTTGTAGCTGGTATTCAACATCATAATCTTTCTTAATTTTTTTTTTCTACTGCTGTCATTCAACACTGCTATGCTGTGCATTAACATCGCTTTTCTGGATTTTAAATGTATTATTTTTCATATAATTATAAATGTAGTTGCTTTTAATGTGCATTTCGCTCTCTATTTAGTAGCCAACCACTTAGCGCTTACCGCCTGTGGGCTTAACAGTGCACGACAACATCTCTTCCTTGGCCATTTTAGCCCGAAAATCGGCCATTAAGTCTCTACAACTAGTTGCCAATTCGGCAAGTTGTGTGAAAAGCGCTTCGCCTTGCTTACAGTAGGCATCCTGATCGTAATCAACATAATTGGTAAGATCGTACAGCCGTAGGGATTCGGGCAAAAACTGTGACAGAAAGTCATTGACTAAACGATGCTGATCCACTACCATTTCTTCGTGTTGCTGCAAATCGGAAATAGCTGCATGTTGCACGAGCAACTCATCGGACATATCGTGTTCCTGTAAAAAATAGATTTTTTTTTTTTTATTTAAAATTGTAACAAAAATAATGGAAGTTTTGAATTTTTGGCTAAAACTCACACTTAGCGATCGCAATAACGCCAAATCGTTCTCCGACATTTGTCCATTGTTCTTGTTGTTATTATTGTTATTGTTAATATTGTGATTATGTGATCGATTATTCTGTACGACCATTTGATCTTCGTCCTCCTCCATAATGGCATGTTCTCCATCACCTTCTCGCATCATATCCGGCATATCCTTAACCACCAGCTCCTTGACACGATCCGCATAGCGGAGCGTATTTAATGTATGTTCACATGAACTCAACCCTGGCGATATCATCGCAATCATGCACGTCTTACTCTTCTCACCAATAAATGAGTCACGCAAAACCTGTGTCAATTTCGATACGCGGAATGGCAAGTGAGCCGATTGTTTACCCAACGCTCGTATACATTCTTTGAGCGCCAGCAGTGACTTGTTAATTTCAGCGCCTTCCATACGTGTCTGTCGATTGGCCGAAGATGTGTCGGCACCACGTTCATTGCCAGCCAAATCGATGAATGAGAACTTGCCGTGTATTTTTGTTGAACCCGGCGGGCGCAAAACAATCTGGAAAACGGCATGCGAACGCGATGAATTAGAGTTGGCCGACGTTTGACCTGAGGTGCGCGCCGTATTACCATGCTGTATGAGTTTGAGCACTTCTTCGACACTATCGACGACCTTCTCAGTCAAGCCCACAACTTGCACTTGCTGCTTGCCATCTTCGAGTACGCGCAATTTTTGCTTGTCAGAGAGTAAATCAAAGACCTGTGTACATGCGAAAATTATAATATAATAAACGATTGCGAATATATAAATATGTAGCGTATATAAGCATTTCACATGCATTACCTTTCCACTGTAGATCTCAAAGAAGCTAGCGGACACAACCAAATTGAGCGCACGATAACGTGGACTTTTCAAAAAAGTGAAAACGTCACGTGCTGCCATTGCATAAATGCCATTTTTACAGTCCTGCACTTTGCCATTGAATTCGCCGCCCATGGTGTGTGTTTTTCCGGCGCCCGTCTGACCGTAAGCGAAACATGTCGCCATGCCACCATCGAAAATTGTCTGCACTAAGGGCTTAGCAGTGTACCTATTTGGAATACGATATGGCATCAAAATTTAAAGTATTTGGAGTAAATACATATGTACATATGTAGTAAAAATGTGTAACTAATCGCAGATATGATATGACAAGAAGGAATATGGTGGCTGACTTGTAAGATAAGGATGATAGGAGTGCACATACTAATTCAACGATTAATCACTTGTCAAAATTACTGCACCGCCTTAATTCGGTTTGAATCAGCGGAAAATTTATACGATTGCCTGAAAAATGGTAAACCGATAGGTGTAAAACTAATATATGATACACCTGAACGGGTGGATTTGTGGTTATGTGCCATATTACGGGAAGGAATGAAACCTCATACACCAGCACTGAACTGGAAAAAAATAATCAACTTCTTAGGGCTGGTTTCTTCAACAGAGTTCTTTTGCCGAACTTTAAAATCTTTCATTAACATAATAATGAAATTAACGTCGAACTAACGATCTATAAATGGCATCGCTGATTAAGTATGTGCGCTAAAGAGTTAAATTGATAACAAACAAGTAATTTTTAGCAAAAAAAACCCGGCTTCAACTCCTATATAAAAAAAAAAATATATATATATATATCTCAAGATCCACTGATCGGATCTCAACCAGATTAGTATGGGACCCCCTCTGAGTCACTACCTTTCCGATGCAAAAAGAATTATCGAAATCGGTTGACGTTGTCCGAAGTTATGCGGTAACATACATAAAAAAAATAAAAAAAAAAATATTCCGACGAACTGATAACCTCCTCCTTTTTTGGACGTCGGTTAAAAATAGATTCCATTCGTCAATTATTAAACTGCATCATTACTCATGTTTTTTCTACAAACATATGCAATGAAACGAGGAAATTAAACAGGGCCAGGTAAATAATAATAAAAATGCTTTAATTTAAGCAGACAGCTGTCTTAGCCTTGCAATAAAAAAAAATTAATAACATTTGCATAATTCCGAAACTCTTTGGCTCATATGCGCATATAAATTGTTAAGAGTAAAATTGTTCTGCCGAAGTGTTTTTTGCTTGGCTCTTCGAATTCACCTCATTTCACATATTGAAAAATCGGCATTAATATTTGCAATAAAAGCTAATATTACTTATGGTTGGTGCATGTAAACGAATGCTATCGCAGGCCGGAGTAAAGCAATTTTTTGCGGTAAGTATGCAAATATCTCTATGCTCTGCAAATGAAACAAATTTTAAATATTTAAAATTTCCCGCAAACCACGCTAATAGCTAAAGATTTTTCGTTACTCCTTTCCTTTTGCATGCACCAACTTGAGAAAAAAGCAAAATCTTTTTTACGTTGCCAATAGTAGCCAAGTTATAATGAAAAGAACTGGTTAAAAGTGGTTTCAAGCGGTTGCCACGAAATATTTTTAGTAGCAAGCGAATGATTGTGAAGCAGCAACGGCTAAAATCAAAACCGCAAGCGCAAACTTTGCCAATAGTCGTGGCACAACCCTACAAACTGCTAAAATTTTTGAATATAAACTACTATGTATGCATACAAACATATATGCATGTATGTGCATGTTGGTTTTGTGTTGTTCTTAAAAAAAAAAAAAAATTAAAGTGCATTCGGCATATTACTGAAAAGCCAAAAATGCTGGAAAAGTGGTGGTCGCGATGGCAAGAGCAGCCATTAGCGCCAACCTCTTGAGCAGCACCGCAACTGACTTTTTTTAAATTTAATCTCTATATACAAATGAAAAGCCAAAAATGCTGGAAAAGTGGTGGTCGCGATGGCAAGAGCAGCCATTAGCGCCAACCTCTTGAGCAGCACCGCAACTGACTTTTTTTAAATTTAATCTCTATATACAAATGAAAAGCCAAAAATGCTGGAAAAGTGGTGGTCGCGATGGCAAGAGCAGCCATTAGCGCCAACCTCTTGAGCAGCACCGCAACTGACTTTTTTTTAAATTTAATCTCTATATACAAATATATTACAATAAATTTGTGAAATAGAAGAGGCTACTAGGCGCTGACTGGCTGCCTTTCTATTTTATTTTTTGATTGCATTGTTTTCTTATTTCGCCTTTTACTGCCGTTCTAGCTTTCACATTTTTATTTTTTTTTTTACCAGTAACTACAGTAACTAGCTACATCAGCACACCCAAAATGAGTAACGAAATTTTCAACTAGCATGTCTGCGCCAGCGATTGCTCTACCTCCGCTACTCTTCATGCACTGGGCGCAGAAGGAAAGTTTGGAAAATGTTGCAAGTTAAATTAACAGCATTAAGCATTTAAAATCTTATTTGTAGCTCTATGAGGTAGCACAAAAAAAGCTAAACAAAATAAAATATGTTTGTATGTATGTGCATACATTTGTACGGAGTTATTGCTGAACCAGTTGCTTGGTTAGTCAGCGTTTATGGCATTAGTAAACAAAGAACATATGGAGACGACGACAAAGTCAGTACAAAGGCATACATACAAAACCCCTGAGCCCCAAGATTTACTTGAATGTTTAAGTGAAGGCAATGGTGAAGTCAGTGATCCGTCCAGCTGTCAAGACAGTAACTAAACTTGCTACGTAACTCTATATGTGCGTATTTGCAGACATATGTACATACATATATACATACATTAGGCTTAGTGCAAGCAAGCATATACAAAAGTCTATGTTTTGCAGTCAAAACCTGCTATATCCACGCTACACAAAGCCTTGTCAATTTCGATTGTCCGGCTTTGAATGTACATATGTGTAGAAAATATGTCAAATAAGTGTTAGTAGGTAGCAGCCGTTAAATCCATACATACAATTGTACATTTACTTATCTGTAGATCTACTTGTATATAAGTACTCACTTGTAGACCATGGCATTGTCGCAGTGATCATCGAATGCGTAATCAAAGCGGAATTTATGATTTTCGAGGAATTTTGTTAGGTCGACTTTGTTGCGTGGCTCATGCACGATGAGCGTGTCCTTGCGCGGCACCGAAATCACATCGATCTCCTTACGTGTAACCTCTTTCCGGCTAAGTGGTCGCTTCCGTACGCATACTGTTATTTGATGATCTTCGTAGACTTGCCCGTCGACAAGTGGATTAAATTCTAAAGTGCTCTGGTATTCACGTATCATTTGCGCTGTCTCCCAATTGGGATTTCCCGGATCCTGATTCATGAGCGCATTCTTTTCCTCTTTGATTTCAGCTTGACGTGCACGCCTCTTCTCTCGATTCTCCTTCAGTCGCTCGACTTCTTTGACCACATAGGAACGACGTCCGCCCACATTGCCGGCCACTGAGCTGGACGCAATCGAAGATGAATTGCCGGCACTGGTACTCATGGCAATACCACCACCCCCAGCGCTGCCACTCCCAGCAGCAGAGGCTAGACGTGTTGCGTTGTTGGTGGTACGCGAGCGCACTATACCTGTAGTCGGTGGCGGCGGTATGTTCTCCGAGTGTTCCGAGACAGCAGACGAAGAGAGCAGACTGGTGGCGTTGATGGTAGCACGATTGGTGCGATGACCGATGGCGCCTTGAGTAGCGTTGCGCGCCAGGTTTATGGGTGCTGTCGCTTGCTTCTTCGGTTCGGGTGCGGCATTTTGTTCCGGCTCGGGATCTTGTAGAATTTCCGGATTCAATGCGAGTATGGCGTCCAATTCTACTTCCTTGCCTTTTGTTTCGTTGCGTTCGTACCATTCCACCGTGATCGATTTACCAGACTCGTTGATTTTCGACACAACTGCGGCGTGCACACGGCCATCTGTGCGCTTAATTTTGACGCTCTGACCAACTGAAATGTATTCCATTGTGGGAGTTGGAACTTGTCCACGTCTGCGGCTGTGCAACTTCGAATAAACTTATTGCTATTGCTTCTATGGCTGGCTTTTCGGCTGAGAATGCTTTACTTCTGTCGTTTGGGGCTGTGGTGTGCACTTTTCAATGTAGTTGAGCGTTTTTTTCTCGCTTTTTTTTATAGTTTTCCTTAAGCGTTGGCTGACTGCAAACGGAAGGGCACTTACTGTAATTCCTGACGAATTTTTCGTCCAACACTTCAATTTTTTTTCCGATATTTTATTATAGCTTGATGTGACTTCCTACTAAATTATTTCTTGATTTACCTACTTGGAAAAAAGCTCTTTCTACTGGATTTAAATCGTTTTAACACCTCAGCGTGGGGGTTTCACTAAAGATTTTTTTCCGTTGCGACGATTACTCACTCACTAAGCTCGACTGTGCTGCTTTGGCAGCGGCTGTGTATGGCTTTGCAAGCAAATACAACAGCAAACGTAGGCAATATAAAACAGCTGCGCGACGCGCGGTAATCCGGCGGAATTATTCACTCGCTCAATTGTTGCTCGTTTCCAAGTGTATGCACTCGTTCTTCTATGCTGACTTTTGGGCTGTTTACCGTGGTTGTTATTGTTTTTTTGTTAGCGCAGAGTAAATTGTTGTTGCTACCGTGTCAAATCGCTGTCGATTCGAAATCCAACTGACATTCGAGGCTCGAAGCGGCAATTGGCACTCGTTGTACGCCTCCTTTTCCGCTAATTTCTTATCGTAGCTTTTTGTTTTTTTTGTACTCTGTCCGTTCGCTGCTGCCCAGTGTTGTCCAATTCCAGCGCACAAAAAATGTTGCAGACGTTTCGAAATGAAAAATTGGGAAAAAGAGAATAGATAGAAAAGTGCAATTTTAGATTTTTTTGTAAATCTTTTTATAAATTTTGACGCAAAATGCAAACGATATTTTCTCCTGTAAACGAAAGAGTTCAAGATTTTATTTTTATCTGACGGAAATATCCTTTAAATGCCAAAAAGTAAAAAAAAAAATATTCTGCTGTTGAAGCAAACGTTGACATTTCTACCAAATATAAGTGTTGTAAAGATCAGTAAAGTCAACTATACATTTACGAATGTACGAAACGAACTGAATGTCCTTAAATAAAAAAATAATTTGATTATAAATGTGCTGGATTTAACCTGGCACTCTTAAATGACCTCTTAATTATTTTTTCGTACGCCGAGCGTGTCAAAGCGATGTATCATTCTTGGCATGTCAATATTAAAATAACTACCGAAAGATTTCATAGCAGTTTAAGAATTTCACGTTTCACTAACAAAATCAGATAAAAGAAAATCCATCACGGAACGCCTTGAAACAAGGCAACCCACATTGAGATTTGTATGCATGTTTTTCGTTTTTATTGCAATTTCCCTATCCATTTTCAGCTGATTGAATTTCCGCAATTGTGCAATACGGAGACACCCAGCGGCGAATGTGCAATAGGAGCAACATGAAAAATGCACTTTTCTAAAATGATTTTTAAATTGCTGCAAATAAGTTTAAACACCAAAAATCACTACCTCAACCAAAATAATTTTCCACACGCAAAAAGTTGCTTCGCAGGAGCAAGGTCGATATTTGTAGAATGCTATGACGGCATTTATCAATAACAAGACGTTAGCAACGCCACTCAAAGAAAATAAAACGAGTATAGATGACTGTAAGCGGAATTGACTGCTGGTGTAAATGAACACCGCCTCCTAACTACATCGGAATATAGTTTTAACAATTTTGCATTTATCTACTATCAATATTTCCTAAACTAGTGAAACTCACAATTTTTAATTTAATTTTTACTTAAAAATGAGCAGATGTCACCGAGTATAATGCGACGGTTAGGCTAAAATTGCGAGTAACGAGTGCACAAACAACTTCAAAAGCAAAAACAAGAAAAGCGCATATTCGAAATGGCAGTTGAAGCATTTGAGTGGAAATCTCGACAATGCATTGATAGTGTGCGAGAGGGAAAGAGTAGGAAGATGTGAAGGCGCGAATGACCGCATTCAAGCAACTTAGCGTTGTTGTTGTTGCGGAAGATGGGGTAATGAAAGAATGATCCAATAAAAATGATGCCACATCTTGTAAATTTTTGTAATTAAATAATTAATTGGAAATGGGAATTACAGTTACAAGGAATGGGATATTATATGGGACCAAATATCGGTTGGGACCAAATGCAACAGGGTGAAACCAGCGTTTACCACCCTATACTTCCGGTAGTGTATTCCAGTGACGTCCGGTAGTGCATTCCAGTGGAAGTTTTGTGATCTATCCCTGTTCTGACATTCATTCTTGTTTTTGTTTTGTGCCATCATTCGCGCCGTTTTGGCTTTCGCTTGCCCCCACTTAATCAAACACTTCTAATTTTCCAACTCACACTTATTTTGCTCTTCATCAGAGAACTTTGCTGCATTTTTTCACGCAACTGCGTTTTCCTCCACACATTCGTAACGAAAATTCATAGCAAAAAGAAAAAATTACCTGCGTGGAAAGACAAAAACGAGAGCAACGAAAAGAAAATTTTCATTTTCCAATTTTAAGTGGGTCGCGTTGTTTTCTTTTTGCAGATTTCTAATGTGAGTGCAAGAATTTGATTATCAAAACAGCACAGTATTACTGATAAGGTTGTATTCCCGCTCTTATTTCATATGTAGAACACTTGCCACAAAACGCTGCCAGTATCGAAATGGATATCATGGACATACAAGCCGTCGAGTCTAAACTGAGTGACGTCACGGTGACCCCAATACCTCGTTCACAAGTGCAAAATTTCTACAACTATCAACAGCAACGCGAGCAGCGCGAACAACAGCCGCAAATACAAATCTCTGCTATCCATCATCCGCGTGACCGCAGCGGTGGTGCAAGTTCTAGTTCTTCAAAAGCCACCACAGTGCTTGACCTGCATCATAGCGTACTGAGTGGCAGTGTGAAAGGAAGTGGCGGCGTACGGGACCTGTACAGCAAGCGTGAACGTGATTATCATCAGCAATCGACGAGCACCTCGGCTGCTGCGGCGGTAGCTGCCCTTCAATATACGCAGCAGTTGCAGGCGCAACTGGCACTTCTTCAACAACAATCGAATACCATCGCCTCTCCCGCCTCGACGCAACGTGCCAGCAGCGGAAGTAGCCATGGCCATAGTGGCGCAGGGAATAGCGGTGGCGGAAATAGTCTTGCTGCCGCTAGCAAAGCTGGAGGTAGCATGGGTCTTGATAATGTTGGCAACGGTGGCATGAGTGTTAGTGCTGCGCTGGGTGTGGGCAGCAACGCCGCAGCGATACTCAACGCAGCACAGTCACAGCTGAAGTATCCACAATCTACATCGCCGGTTATCATAACCACGCAAACATCGGCCAACATAACAACGCCCATGACGTCCACTGCCAATTTGCCTACGGCGGGCACATCAGCAGCCGGCAATGGCCTGAGCAAGTATGCGCAGCTATTGGCGGTAATAGAGGAGATGGGTCGCGATATTAGGCCAACATATACAGGATCACGTAGTTCGACGGAGCGTTTGAAGCGTGGCATTGTACATGCACGCATACTGGTGCGCGAGTGCCTCTTGGAAACGGAACGTTCGGCGCGTCAATGAGACATGGGAGTTGATGAAGGGGGTGCCGGTGGTGACGGTGTCGAAGGCGGCGGAGGTGGGTTTGGAATTGTTAATTTATCAGGTGACAATGACAGTGCGAGTGAAGCGGTGATTAAAGAGGGTAGGGTTAGACGTTATGATGATGATGATAGCGCAGGCGGTGCCGTCAAATAGTTGTTTAGTTAATTAGAATTTAGTTTAGTATAATTATGATTTGCAGAATTTTTATCGGGACAAATTGTGGCGAAAATCAATAACTTCAATTTTTTTTATCTTGTTTTAATATATACTTATGTATATTTTTAGTGTATGCAAATATGTAATTTTAATTGAATTTGTGAAAATTGTGTATTTTCAACAAAAAAGGACAAGAGAGCCTTTCAGCTTTACAAAAGCGAATACTTTCAATGTATCATTTCGTCTATAAATTTCTTATTTTAATTATTATGAAATAGTTTAAATTCAAATGCATGTTTTAAATTATAATTTAAAATAGTAATTTAAATAAATTGAAACTGTTTTAATGAAAACGTAGTTATATGCCGCCTTTTTTGTTTGTTTGTTTTATTTATTTTTGAATATTATAGTTTTTTGTTCGGTTCTACTGCGAAAATAGACTAGCTCAGGATCCAAATGCATACATATGTATATGTATATTCAAGTGCAGCATTGCATACACCTAAGTACAGTACATGTTTACAGCTATAGTATATACACCAATTTTTAGTAAAAGTAAATACATAGTAATGTTTATAAAAGACAAGTAGAGAAAAGTGTTATACCATTTAACTAAATAATAATATACACATTTATGAATATATATATTTAAATATAGGCAGTTGGTATAAACTACACATATGTATACATACATACTATGTATTTTATATTTAGCAACCGAATACAGACCCGTATACAAATTGATACAATAAGTTATTTAATATACCAAAAATATGCGTGAAAAGAGTCGGACAGATACTTTCATAAGCATAACCTCATATAATTCAGAAAAAACACAAAGGCATTAAATTAACTTGCATATTAGTGGTTTAATTTTAAAATTCACATTTTTCCCGTTACTTGCTACAAACGCACCACAGAGTGGAGTAATCGATATACATACTACGCAAAATAACGATCGCTAACGATCAGCTGTGTCACACACAACTCGATTCACACATTGTGGTACTAAAAATTTTAGAACTAGATTTGTTGGTAAGCGTTTGCATTAAATCGTTAAATATCGTGAGTTAACAAAGTGCAAAGCAAAGATAAGTTATTACCTCAACATAACGTAGGCAATTCCATAGCAAAATTTGTGAAGAAACCATTGCAGCGGTTGCGGAAGACGTATCGTGCAAAAGTACAGGGTGTAGAGAAAAAAATAAGTTAAATCAGCTATAACCATTTCCGCTGTATGGCGCAAAAGTAAAATAAATTACATACATATGGGGAACTCTTTTCGAGATCAGCCGCCTCACCTGCCCAGTTTCTCGTAGGGAAACATTTTTTTTTTAGCACATTAAACAATTTGTCATTTGAAGTGTAGTTTTTGATTCCGTCTGGTCTTTTGTGGAAAATAAGTTGTCTAACCTCAAACCAAAACAAGCAGATATTTCGTAAAAAATGGTCGAAAATATTCAAATAAATTCGACTTATTCATTATTTTGGGAGTTCTTGCTGGACAAGAATTTGATGTCAGTTTTTCAGGATGACCCCTACACATAATTTTGTAGAAATCGGTAAAAACTTACAAAAATACTGTCCATCATCTTGGATACACTATCTTGAGTTTGAAAACCGACATCGGATTCTTGTCCAATGAGCCATAGAGCCCCCAAAACAGTGATTTAGTCGAATTTATTTGAATATTTTTAATTTTTTTTTTCGACCACTTTTGACGAAATACCCGATTTTTTTTTTGCGAAAAGCTTCTCTTTAGACAGTTATTTGGAGGTTAAACCACTTATTTTTCACAAAAGACCAGACGACATCAAAAATGCAAATTTTTTTCATGTGCTCAAAATATTTTTTCTTTCACAAGAAAAAAAGGCAGGTGGCGGGTGGTTGAGGGTTTGAAAAATAATTCCCCATATACATATAAAACAATTAAGAGAAACACAAATTAGACTACATTCATATGTAATTCATTAGGGAATACAGTATTCATGCATTTTAGTGAAAAAAATATTTTAGTGTGTATTAGATAAAAATAAGTATTGATAAGTGAAAGCCTTAGTACATATAACATACAATTATTGGCGAAATATATGGTGTGTACATATGTTTATTCGAAGTATACGAGTTTATTACGGCTTATAAATATAAATAAGTACATACTATGTATTAGTATTTTGAAAAAAAAAAAAAAATCAAAATGAAATAAAAAAAGTGAAAAAATCAAATATTTCTTTAACAAAAGCGCAACGTAAAATATTGACGCCTCCAAACCATACCTGACTTAGCACCTTAGACTTAGTCAGAATTAACATAGTAAGGTTTTTAGGCGTCGATATGATAGAAGGAAAACATATTTTACTAACAAAAAATTCGGACTATTTAACGGTGAACAATTCTACATATCTAGGTCGACCCGTAAAAATCTGAAAAAATGCAGCCGGGTTCGGTAGCAAGAGTAACAACGCCACCAGAGAAGAAATGTTGAGGAGTTTCTATATTTCGCATTCTGTAGCAAAGCAATAAAGGCGATTCTGTCGGTGTGAATCTGTTCGGACGAAAATTACAACAATGCCGATCATAGTTTTAAATGGCAAACCACACTCTTGTCGATTTTGCTGCAGCGATTTATTCGAACATTCACAGTTCTTTTTTTGGTCGTGGCGAAATCGCAGACTGCCGCCTTTTGACAACTTGAGAACGAAAAAGGTCAATAGAAGGATTTTACAATATTAAAACAAAATTGAACGTATACTACGTTCAAATTGACGAGCTGAACATGTTAAATGGGCTTGAAACTAGTTAAATGAACAAAACATGTTCATAAACAAGTTAAATCGCATGCAATTGTTGTTGGAAAATTTAACCAGTTAAATCATATAACTCGTTTGAAAACCATTTCAGCGCAGAGTTGTATCAGAAAGCTTTCTGCTCCGACCAATCAGAAAGACCCAAAAGCTTTCATTTGACACGCCAACGTTCAAAAAATGTATATTCTGAAAAATATTAATAATTAAAAATTATCAAAAAATATCAAAATTGTATGGATGTCTGCCCGCCAATAAAGGAGGTCTCATCGAACGCAGAGATAAATAGTG